GAGAGAGAGAGAGAGAGAGAGAGAGAGAGAGAGAGAGAGAGAGAGAGATTCGACTGGTGTTTGGGGGCATTTCAGACTACTGATACTCTTGATGTCATCCTAGTCAGTGCAGCTCTGTACTTCCCGGTCGATGCAGGATAGTTAACCCTGTGACCACTGATTACTGTTGTAGAGGCGTGCGCTATGTGACCTCACCCTCTGGCCACCTGTGCAGCGATTGCTTGTTCTTGAATGAAATAAAACGTGATAGAGTACCAACATGCTATCAGCATTCAGATTTGTACGCAGTGCTGTAACACTCAAAGGTCACTATTTTAACAAATGTGACATTTGGCGTGGTGCTTTATGCTTTATTTCTCATCATCGTTGGCTTGTTGGAGCTTGAATTGAAGCTGTAACAGTGTGGTGATGGTAACTAGATAATGCAAGTCGTTGAGCTCTAATTCAGGGGACTTGATTTGAGCACTTAGACAATAGTGTTTTTGTATGTTTTGCAATGATGTGATGTAATAAGTTGATAATGTTAAAGCCCTAATCAAAACCCACGTGATGTTATGAATGTAAAGTGAAGTGCAACTTCTTCAGAAGCTGTATAATAACACTGAATGGATTTTCACCTTTGTCTCTTTGCCTCCAGAACCTTGACAACTACAAGCAGACGGCAGAGCAGTACAACGAGGCAGCAACTAAAGCGGAGGCCCACATCCGGTAAATACTGTGAATTACTTTGCAACACCATTTTCTGTGGAATGAACCGTTCAGTGTACTCATTACGTTGTTGCTGCTTACTGCCTCAGTATGCTTTTTACGAGCCTATCATAGGCTTAAGCAGTTGAATGATTGAATGTGCCCGTAAGTAACATATTAGTGCTAACCGTGCACATCTAAATTCAAGGCAGACATCGTATGACAAATTAGGAGAAAAAAAAGCACAGCAAACCTCGGCACAGTGGAGGACAGAGAGAGACCAACCCTGACGAGCAGGATGTCCACACAATTATCACTTCTCGTCTCTCGTGTAATATTATTGTAACACAATTCTCACATCATTGTATCCGGGCTCACTAGACAAGTTAAATACTTCTGACATCCGTCACTGCTCACTTTTAATACTTGAGAAAATATACACTTTTAAAATGAATTTTGATTTATTGAGTCAAGTATTTCAAACAATGGGATAAACATATTTTTAAGTTTTCATCATGTGATTTTGTCATAACATGCATATTATAACAAAACGACCTAGATATTCAGGCGATAAGTATTTATTTATATACTTTCATCTATTTCACCTGCTTCTGTTCGGTTGTCTCTTCAAGTATACCAATTATCTTCTCAGATAATAGAAGATATTAGATCGATTTTGACATGTTTCTTTTTGGCATCATTTCTGAGAATGGCACTATAATAGCCTAATGGATAAAACAGAGCATCAACAATTGCTGCTTATGTTACTTCTGTTAAGTCTTCTGCTTTCTTTATCTATTTTATGCTCTTTTTTTTAATTAGACACAGCAAAGAGAACTGAAATATACCAGAGTATCATTGTCTTGGTCGTTTCATTGTATTCTCTCTAGTGCTCGGAGAGACGACTTGAGTTGCGTGAAGCCGATTCGCTGCTTTGGAATATGCGTTCTCTGTTGTAATGAGCGCAGTATTTACATGTATATACACACTGTGGTGGCATGTTGGGTATCTCTCCCCACTCTCCAATATGTATTATGATATTAACATCCCCGCCTTTCTTATTATTTTCTACAATGATGCGTGTCAATATTCTCGTGTGTCCTGTCGCCACCAGCAGCTTGGTCATCATGGCGATAGATTATGGACGACTTGGCCTTTTTAAATGGCAGCAGCGCTCCTCTTCAGACTTCACCTGCCTGCTGTCAAAAAGCGTGTCAGAGTCATTTATTAGTGAATTGCCGCCACACTGGCACTGCCGGAGCATGAGGGCCTTGCCAATTTACGCCCCTCTTTAACAGCCATTCTTAGCTCTTTTTAGGAAGGAGAGAGAGCAGAGGAGTCTCTGTGAATCCAATTTAGTCAGAAAGCCATTCATTTTCCCTCTTGACAATGATTATTGCAAAAATGATGAAAGATGGCTGATTAATTCAGATCTATCTCTTTTTTCATGTGATACTCACATGCTCATTCCTCACCTTTTAGTTCCCATTAACACATAAAGCCTTTGTTTGGTTTTTTTACCCTACCGCTAACTATTAAAACCTGAATTTCAGTTCAAAAACCTGTAAAAGTTGCACAGTTATTGTAGTTAGCTATTTCCCCCTCTGCTGCCAGCAGCGTAGTATGTATCCAAGTCTAATGAGATTCACCAGGAACATAAAAACACGACAGGAAAGTGAACAATCTCCCTGCTCAACAGGAATAATTTCATATTAGGGTTAATTACAAAGTTTTGCATTAATATTTTAATAGCAATATCTGAAAAGATAGCAGCACAGAGGCTGAAATTCATTCACAACAAACTCTCTGCACACAAGGTGGGAAATGAAAGAAAGTCAGCAGTATAGTGTCACTTCACAGTTGTGCAGCATGAGTTTGTTACTTTGCATTATTAGGCTTTGTTAAGGCGCTGTACCTTGAAAAAGCAACATTCTGTTCCTCACTTAAGTCGCATGGCATCCCTCACTTTATTATTTAAACTCGCATAAAAAGGAAGTATACCAAACAAAGCTGTCCTAGGAGTAAATGTGTGAATGTTACTAGTACGTCAGTATTGTACTGTAGCAGCGCGCAGACTCGTGCTTTCCTGGAAGCAGCCAGAGGAAACAGCAGACGCTTGGTGCTTTTTGCTCGCTTTGCATTGTATGATGGGCAGTGACCTCATCCCGCCGTCTCCTTCCACCTGGTCCGTTGAATTTAACAGCATGCAATTCAAGTCCCAAATTTTGTCCAAATGATTACATTCGCTAGGATTTTGCTATTGTCCATCGCTGCATGGAAGAGGTTAGAAGATCAGTTCTGCACGAGTTTGCCAAAAGAAGCACATTTTGTCCTGCCACAATGTGTCGCTCATTATTTTTGCGCACGCACAACACTCCTCTCCCCCTTTTTTCCGTTTTTCTATCTCTGCCACACACGCAGGCACACTTTGTATTCAAGCAGCCACGTGCTCGTCATGTTCTGTCAGCATTTGGGCAGCGTTTCATTGTGCCGTGGTCACGCTGTCATTTCACACTACACTGACCACTCCGTAATTATTCTATTTACCCACTGCTGTTGGGGGGAGAACACAGTCCAACAGACTATGTCTTTTTCTTCTGTCTTTGTATTCCTCTCTGTCTCCACTTGTGAATCTCTCTCTTATCGTCTCATTTTCTTAATTATACAATATTTTTTCGATCTCACTCACAGTTGTTCTTCCTCTGCCCACGCTTGTAATTTTGTCTTTTATTTATTGTCCTCAGCATCTTTTACTAGGAGCTTCTATCCTCTTCTGTCTTCATATCTTCTGTAGGTATGACAATGAAGAGTAGTGATTTCAAAGGCAGGTGACTCGTGATTCTTCCCTCTTCTTCCTCTAGTTTGGTTGAATTAATAACAACAGCAGAATGATGGGTTCCTAAATAAGGAGTGAAAAAGTCAGGACTCTATAATCCGGTAATTATGAAGAGATAATTTAAGAGTGAAATGCTGAAGGAAAGAAATAGAATATGCATATTTTAAGGAATGAAATGGAATAGATTGTTTTGGAGATCAGACTCAGCCACAGCACATTATTCAGTGGTGGGGGAGGGGATGGGTGGGTTTCTGTATGCAGTGGTTAAGGTCAGCAGATTCACCACGAGGAAAAGCAGAGGTCGACATGTATTTAATCATTTATTGTTTATTTGATAGGGACACATATATAATACACAGAGTTGCACAACAATTATTCAATGCAGTGTATCACAGCATTTATAGCTGCTGCCAATTCCCAGTTTCCCTAGAAGCGTCTTTCAGGTACAGTGCTTTTCAATCAGGGACACCACCGTCACAAACTCCTTATAGTCATTTCCACTTGTTTATTGACAGTTGTGGTGGTCCCACTTTGCCCGCTAATTCCAAGCTGTGATTCCGAACCGCTTCCGAATAGTTTGAGTGCAAAAGTTGAAGCTAAAAGCTGCCTCTCACACCTGAGGAGGGCACTGTGTTGATTGCAGGGTGGAAGGAAGCCTCTCGGGTTATTGCCTCCCTTTTCCTACCTTGCACAGGTCACACTCTCTCGAACATTATCCTCGAGTGGGGACACGCTGAGCGGTAAAATGTTATTTAGTGCTATTTTCTACTTTCCTTGCCCAACTGCATGGGGGCATTTTAGAAGTTTATCCATTAGCCTTGCCTCGGGGTATCAGACTACCCAGATTCCACAAAAACACCTCACCCAAGAGACCCACAACATTACAGCTTAGCTTACCTTAGAATCTAAAAAATACATTAATCCTCTTAAAAAAAACTTGTTACCCTCAAAGTGTTAGCAAAGACAGAACCTAAGGGAACCTCAGGTGGATGTGTCTGTGAGGATTCACCGTGAAGTAACTGCTGACAGTTTGTGGTTAAAAGCCTTCTTTCATGTGGGTTTGTTATATACTTTATACTTTAGTGTGTGTGTGTGTGTGTGTGTGTGTGTGTGTGTGTGTGTGTGTGTGTCCAATTAGTGAAACAGACAGATAGCGAACTGTAAGGATCTCTGTGGCCCACAAGGTAGAAGACTCCGAGTCATTACAAGAGACGAGACCTGTCTGCACTGTGTGGTGCAGCAAAGATTTACCATTAAGACAGAAGGCTGCAGTCACTTACACACTCACACTGCCTCTCTTTGACTGCCTCATTACAGTATATATAAATTATATAGAAACACCTACACACACACAAACAATCCTGCAAAAGAACCACAGACAGCTCAGAGTTGTTCTGTGCAGTTACAGTAGATATATGTGAGAAGACAAACAAGTGTAAATTCACATGTTACAATTTTCACTGCTGCATCAATTAACAGATTTTCATCCCATCACAGTTTAGAGATGGGAAGCATGGGAATCAAACCGTGGACATTGCGTTCATACCACCTCTTAAGATGCTAAATGCAAACTTTAGAGCATTATCAATGTAATAATAGATACATATTGGCACAGAGGACAAGAATAACAGGACATCTCATATATAGTAACACAAAGGGACAGCACATTTGAAATGCAGTAGAATACCTAACACTCACTGAGCCGAGCAGTGTGACATGCAGCAGGTTGTACATAATACAGTTTCTGAGAGCCAGAGTAAGAGATTACTAATAACTGAAGTTGTTATTAAAAGAAAAGAGCTTTCAAAATAAAAGACACAAAACCGGAGTTGAACTAGTTGATGATAGAAAGGGATAGCGATGGAAGGTGGTGGCAACAAAACGCTCCAGAGAGTGCATCTCACCCCACATCGCCCGCAACTCGAGTGATTCGTCCAACCGCGAGGTCTGCTGATTGAAAAGATATCAGCGGTGAGATGTAACACACGTGCACATGTGCCCCTTATCTTGTTCCCGTGTGTCACCTGTTTTAATGGAACACTCTCCTTATCCCCTCCCATCGCTCCCTCCCTATACTCCCGCAAAGTGAGTTTGGTGGGGATCAATCAGCTGGGCTAACAGAGAGACAATTGTTCTATACGTTCCTACGTTCCTATCTCCCTTCAGCACATCAGCTGTCAGCAGATACGCACAGTTCTGTCTGTCGTCAGCTCGCGGCTTGTAGTTGTTTTTGATTGCTGTTCCTATTTGAGACGTACGCGTTTTGGTGGACTTAAGATTTCCCTTTGTGAGGGTCTTTTAGGGTGTTGCCAGATTATGAGCTTATGATTTAGTATGTTGGATCCCTGAAGGTATGATAAGTGACTATTAGGACGACCAAAATAATCTTCTGAGTTCCGTCAGTCCTCAGACGGACCTTTAACGGGCTTTATGATCCATCTGTAGTTCTCATTGGCTGTGATCGTGACAGTAAGAGTTCTGCCAGTTGAAATGTGATGTTATGGATGTTATCCTTGTGGTAGCATCATAAAAGCTTTACAAAGCCTCTAACAATAGCCGATGCATGCTCTGTTATTCTTCTTGATCTCACCCCGGTAATGACATGAAATCCAAAAGTACAATGCCATGGCTGCTGCTTTAAAAGGACCCAAATCCTTGTCATCATGCATTAATAACTGTTCACACCACACACACACACACTAAGACACAGAGAGAATAATAAAACGCTACGCCCGTACGATTTCTCCTTTTCCTTCTTATTGCTTTATTCCCTAATGTCACGCTTTGCAGCAACTCACAACTTTAGCTCTCTTCATGAAAACCACACACTGCCAAGGTGAGACAAAATAAAAAATAATGAAATAGAATTTGAACCTAATCTTTCTGCCCCGACTCGCGCACGTATTTATGCAAAACTTCACAGGCAGAAAGAAATGACAGCATTGTTTTGCTTCTTCTCCCTGCAAAAGTTGGCTATCAAACTAGCTGGGGCGGCTAATGTTTTTTCTAATAAGAGCTCACCTTTAATTTCAGTCAAACGAAGCAGTTGGTGGAGATTAGCGGAGGCAATTTTCTGCTTCAGATTCCATTATTAAAACACTCCTGGTATCAGAAAGTTTCTCTTGTTGAATTGAGAATCGTTTTTTTTCTTTCCTATTTGAGCTGGAGTTAATACCTTTGGGCTATTGTTGCGGTTATCTCCTACTCTTAGCGAGTGGTTCAGAATGCCGACCAGCTGTCACAGTGCAGGCAAACATCAGCCGGTCGTAGAATTGTAATCATGTCATTGAAACTCTTGCCGACGGATTTTAAAGTGACCAACACAACAACTACCGTCTCCATTTATTTAGTGCAACAATACAAATTCTTTGTTCTCAAGAGCTGACCGTGGCAAAACCTCTGTTTTTAAACTCATATTCATCATAATAATGAAGTATTTTAATGATAGCTCCAGCCAACACACCTCAGAAGTGTCCAGCTTGCTTTAATATGATTGAAACTATGTTTGTTGCTCTTATTAACATCAGCTAGTGAATTATACAGACCACGATAACGCCTCGTCAGAGTCCCAACTACATGATCTGTTGGCCAAACGTTACGCAATGTGCACCAATATGTACTGTCCTCCTGAGCACAGAGGGGCGGGGCAACGGTAAAATGCAGATTGTGATGGTTGCCATGGGTTCCTGTTTGTCTACGCTTGCGAGCTGCAACGGTTATTTATCATTTAATAAGTCGCTGTCACGTCTCTCTCTCTCTCTCTCTCTCTCTCTCTCAGGTTGCATTCACTTCTCTATTCATGAATATTCTCTCTGCCAGTGATTTATTTAATCCTGTCGCTCTACCCTTCACTGCATACACACACACACACACACACATTCAGACTACACAATACACATACCAATGTGGAGGAATTTCTCCCCCCAGTCCTCCGTGTGTACAGTTAATCTCACACACGTGCAGCGTATTTACGAGGCACAGTTCAAACGCACGCACACATATTTATTGTGTGCGTTTGTCAGTGAAGGCAGAGATACTGCGCTCATTCGTATGTGCATGATTCTGTAATTGCTTTGAGGGATGGCATGAGGGCTGTGTGTGTGTGTGTGTGTGTGTGTGTGTGTGTGTGTGTGTG